GCAAAACAATCAGATTTTTTTTTTGCGTAACTTGTCAGTGAACTATGGCTCTGTGTAGTAAATGCTGCTCCATCTGAAAGCACGTGATGATGATTTACTGCTGATTACAGAACCGGCTTTACTAACAAAATGCGCATGACAATCGCATTCGATTAATAGTGGATTACTCCGTAAATATACATCTTTGACATTTAATATTTTGGATTTGATCACTGCATACATGTTTGTCTTTATTCAGAAAATACAGTATATTGACAAAATCAAAAATTTGAAGTTTGTGAAATTTGGTTGATTTGACATGGAATGACCCTTTTGTATTTGATGTTGTTTTTATTTATTTATTTTTTTATATTGTACATATTGTTATGTTTATTATTGACATAACTGTTCAGATTGACAATTCGTATTAATAAATTAGTTATTTGCATAGACGACATTTTCTCTGTGTTTATTTGGTAGGAAAAACATGCCCCCATTAAGCAACAAAAATTATCCTCAGAATTTAATTCTAGGGGGAAAATATTGTCCTTTAATAAACCATAATAATTCCTGACATCGATGCAATGTGTAGTATGCAGTACACATTATGCCTTTCTCTTCAGTGCTCTGGCAGTGTAAGATCAGGTCATGTTTGACTGTAAAATGAATCAAACCTTGATGAATTGAATCTTTTTGGAGTCTTATAAGAGCTGAAGCATTTCCCTGTGAGATTTGAATGGTTTCTGACTGATCTCAGACCAGCTCTGTATCTCTGATCAGGATGAAACCGGTGCTGGTTTCTTCTGATCATGCCGTGAAGTGAACATAGTTCCCACTCCATCATTAATGAATCTCTCCACGTCAAACGAATCAGATTATTCTCTAACAGATGGTGGTTATCTTCAGCATGAAGCTCTAGTAATGCTCCACCTGCTTTATTTTCATGTAAATCCTCATGATACGTCTGTTCTGATCAGAGTCTGAATTCAAAAACTGTGATCAGGATGTTTCTGGCTGCTTCAATGCGTGACCGCTTTTTAATCATTTTAATGAATATAAAGCTCATTTAGTCACGGCAGGTTTGTGTTTGTTCTCATGGTGTTTGTTAATCTAGGACTGAATGATTAGAGTAGTTAAAGGAATAGTTCACTCAGAAAATGAGGAGACGTGTGATTACAGGGGTCTTTGTACATCTGAGACGCAGGAGATTCAGCCACGTCTGTGTTTGTTCTCTGTTCTGCTGTCGAGCACAGCTGAGATCTTTCACTGGTGTTTTATTGAGTTTTGAATGGATCAAACGTCCTGGAGTCGTTTGTGATAACCTCTTATTCTTAGAGTCACTTTAATGTCTTATTGATTCACACACACGAGATCACTTCAGTCTCTCATCTCTCTTTTTTTGTGGAGGTGGTTATCTATCTGTCTGTCTGTCTGTCTGTCTGTCGGTCAGTGGGTCTGTCGGTCGGTCGGTCGGTCTGTCTGTCTGTCTGTCTGTCTGTCGGTCTGCTGGTCGGTCGGTCTGTCGGTCGGTCTGTGGGTCTGTCTGTCTGTCTGTCTGTCTGTCGGTCTGTCGGTCGGTCGGTGGGTCTGTCGGTCTGTCGGTCGGTCGGTGGGTCTGTCTGTCTGTCTGTCTGTCTGTCGGTCTGCCGGTCGGTCGGTCGGTCTGTCTGTCTGTCTCTCTGTCGGTCGGTCTGTCGGTCGGTCGGTCGGTGGGTCTGTCTGTCTGTCTGTCTGTCTGTCTGTCTGTCTGTCTCTCTGTCGGTCTGTCGGTCGGTCGGTGGGTCTGTCGGTCTGTCGGTCTGTCTGTCTGTCTGTCTGTCGGTCTGCCGGTCGGTCTGTCGGTCGGTCAGTGGGTCTGTCTGTCTGTCTGTCTGTCTGTCTGTCGGTCGGTCTGTCGGTCGGTCGGTGGGTCTGTCTGTCTGTCTGTCTGTCTGTCTGTCTCTCTGTCGGTCTGTCGGTCGGTCGGTGGGTCTGTCTGTCGGTCTGTCGGTCGGTGGGTCTGTCTGTCTCTCTGTCTCTCTGTCGGTCTGTCGGTCTGCCGGTCTGCCTGCCTGCCGCGGTCGGTCGGTCGGTCAAACAATAGCTAAAAAAAAAAGTCAAATTAGTTAATTCAAAATCAAATCAGTAATCAGATGTCGTCAAATTAACTAACATGTAACATGTTTTTGTGTTGTTGAGTTATTGAAGTTTTTATTCATTGTAATTCTAGATTTAGAACTGCCCAGAAGGTAGAAATGGGTCACTCTGTGTGTGTGTGTGTGTGTGTGTTATCCATTGTTCCAAAAAAAGAACCTGTCGTCCATCACATTTATTTCACCTCCACCTGTCTTTCTCTCTGTCTGTCTGTCTGTCTCTCTTTCATTCTTCTCTTTGTTCATGGTGAATTCAGGCTCCTCTGTCTCTCTAAACTCTCTTCTTATTCTGTACTTTGTTAGTTTTTTGTCATTCTAGTGTGAATTTGCATGTGAAGTGAGAGGACTCATGCTGAGCTGGAAACATCTGTCTGAAAACCTTCATCCATCCAGTGTTGGAGACAACATGGCCAAATTTTTTCTGTTTTACTGTCATTGCATAACTCTTCCTCCTCCTCCGTCAGTCTCACGTGATTCAGTGTCACACTCAGATCTTGAGCTCCTTTTGATTTTGACTTTCACGTGTGAAAACACTCAATCTGAGTTCAGTAATCCTGTTGAGATCGTGATGAATAATGTTGTTATGAGCTGCTGATGTTCCTCATGTTCCTGGATCAGTTTGATTAGAGACGGCACAGAGATCAGTTCAGTATTTTTATTGTGGTTGTGGCTTGTAGTTTGTCCGTAATGGCATTTATTTCAGGTGATATTGAATATGTGGAATAAACCAGGGAAACGTGAACATTGTTGAGTTGAAATTTCAGTTTAATTATTAGGTTAAGCTGCAGTCCGTAACTTTTTTTGGTTAAAAATGAAGGTTTTCGCGGGAAATTCGAGCATGCTGCCGCATCATTACATCACATCTGTGAACATAAAGAAGTTGTCCCGGCTACTAGGCTATCGCATGTGAGGATCCTGCAGGTGGCGGATCGTTTATAGCCTTTATAGCCACAGCAGCCAGAATAATTAAATGTATCATTTTGATGGCGGATTGTAATCCATAAAGGATTATGTGTTTATGAAACACGTGTGAATGAAATTATATTCCAGTTATAAATGTGCTTCTGATTACTGATAGCCTGGGATTACACAAGATTTGTATTTTAAAGAAAACCAGTTCGAAGGGAGCATAATTTGCTTTTTGGGTTAAAAGAATTTCTTAATATGAAATTTGAGTGGTATGACAATTATAGATTATTAGACTGTACAGAAATTTAAATCTACTCACTTATACACACTATATTCAAATAGTCATGTAATGCTGATGTTGTTAACATTAACAATTTGAGAATAAAGTATAACAATAATAATAATTTGAACGGTTTGATGTGATATGAGTTAATCGATCTTTAGATTTAATCGCCATTGGTAGCGAGATTTATGGTAATGCTTTTTTACTCAGTTGGTCAAAACAAACGAAGCAGACTTGTTACTTACTTGTTCAGATGACAATATATGGTGAAAAATCTTATTTGGGTCATATATTCCAAGACGAAGGCTAGAATCTGTGATTCTGAAGTACAGTGAATATCCACACCGGTGCGGTGACTGACTGCCACACATACACACACATTTTATTACAGATCAGTTGTTTTTTTTAATATAAATTTGATTTTGATATCCAGACCAGTTGTGTTTGTAATCCATATCAGTTGGATTCTTAATTATAATAATTTGTGTTTTAAATCAGATCCGTTTGTTTTTAATTTAGATGAATTGTATTTTTAATAAGTTCAGTTCTTTTTTTTAAATCAGATCAGGTGTGTTTGTTATCAATATCAGTTTGATTTTTAATTCAGATTGTGTTCTTGTGTCGAGTCTCATTCTGACACCTTTGACTGTACAACAGAATCTGTCATAGACACAGAAAACTGGAGAAAACGGATTACTGAGGACTGATTGCCCTAAAATAATGTCTCTGTGTGTGTGTGTGTGTGTGTGTGTGTCATCTGTGATGGATTACCAGCACTGGTTTCACAACCTCTAGAGCAGAGAAATGGGTTCTCTGAGATCAGCTCACATACACACTCAGCCTGTCATCCGCTCAGACTGTCTGTTGTGTGTTTGAATGCATGTGTGTGTGTGTGTCTGTGTGTGTGAGGATGCTCAGTGGGAGTTTGGGAGTTTCTCTCATTGTGTCCAGAAGCTTTTGATGTGCTCATGTTGTGCTCACAGATGCTGGTCTGATCCAGACAGACGGATGCAGATGATGTTCATGTTCGCTCAGTATCTGAGGAAGTGCAGTGTCATTGTTTACAGCTCATGCCTTCAGAAGATGAGGAAGAGTCTGTCATAATTCATACCGTATGTTTGTTTATTTTTGTTATAAGCTTGTTATAAGCTATTTATTTATTTTTCATTCATTCATGCATGCAGTCGTCTGGAACCAAATTATTATTTTCATGTTCTTGCTTAACTTTCTGTGTTTTGACTGTCTTTATTTATTTATGTATTTATTTGTCATGAGTTCATTTGTTTATTTATTTATATTTTCATTAATCTAGAACTGAATTATTATCTTCATATACTTTCTTTACTTTCTGTCTTTGTTCATTAATTTATTTATTTGTCATGAGCTCATTTTATTTTATTAATTTTATTAATTTATTCATTCATTCATTTATATGTCATAAGCACATTGTTGTTTATTTGTTATGTCGTGAGCTTGTTTATAGCTTCATCATCAGAATGTAAAGTCTGTCATAATTCATAGCATATATGTGATGATGGACTGATTCCAGATCAGCTGTCAGACATTCTGAAAGAAGAGCAGAAACATCACACTGCACAAATAACGTTACATTCATGTTTGACATCAGCCAAACCTCTGCTCTGAGTCTCATTTGCATATGCAGCAGTCTGTGAATATTCATGTGTGTTTGTGAACAGGTTTAATTACAGATCCACCCATCATCTGACCACCAATGGTTTCTACGAGTTCCTCAACTGGTTTGATGAGAGAGCCTGGTATCCTCTGGGTCGAATCGTTGGAGGAACGGTGAGTCGAGATTCAGTTCATTCAACTCTTGATTTATCTGAGGAACTTCATGTGGAGCTCAGACCGGTTCCTGTGTGTTCCTGCAGGTCTATCCTGGTCTGATGGTGACTGCAGGTCTGATTCACTACATCTTGAACCTCGTCCATCTGACCGTCCACATCCGGGATGTCTGCGTGTTCCTGGCACCCGTCTTCAGTGCTCTGACGGCCGTCGCCACCTTCTTGCTGACGCGGGAGCTGTGGAGTCAGGGGGCGGGGCTTCTGTCCGCCTGCTTCATGGCCGTCGTGCCCGGATACATCTCACGCTCGGTGGCCGGATCCTTTGATAATGAGGCCGTCGCCATATTCGCCCTGCAGTTCACCTACTTCCTGTGGGTAAGAGGAAGCACTGGAGGAAGTTCGGTGTGGCTTTTTGAATTGAACTGGAAGTGAGTTTTCTGTGTTTGTTCAGGTGAAGTCGATCAAAACTGGATCAGTGTTCTGGACTGTGGGATGTTGCCTCTCTTATTTCTATATGGTGAGTGTGAAAAATGTACTGAATTCAGCCTGTGTCTACAGGGAAGAAGAAGTGCACTTGAGTGTACTGAATGTGCACTTGTACTCTACTTTCGGCTGGCAGCCATATCACCCTGTAGCCCACGACTGGTTACCCACTGAAGCTAAGCAGTGTTGAGCTGGTCAGTACCTGGATGGGAGACCTCCTGGGAAAACTAGGTTGCTGCTGGAAGAGGTGTTAGTGAGGCCAGCAGGGGGTGCTCACCCTGCAGTCTGTGTGGTATAGTGTCCCCTGTGTCACTATACTCTCAACAAGCACCGTCCTTCGGATGAGACGTTAAACCGAGGTCCTGACTCTCTGTGGTCATTAAAAATCCCAAATTTGCCCATTGGCCTCTGATCATCATGGCCTCCTAACAATCCCCATATCTGCTGATTGGCTTCATCACTCTGTCTCCTCTCCACCAGTAAGCTGGTGTGTGGTGGGTGTTCTGGCGCACTATGGCTGCCGTCGCATCATCCAGGTGGATGCTGCACACTGGTGGTGGATGAGGAGATACCCCCTGACAATTTAAAGCGTTTGAGTGCCTAGAAAAGCGCTATATAAATGTAATGAATTAATTAATTACATTTTATTTATTTTTTTAAATACTTGCATAAATGCTTGTTAATACATTGGGCAGTACACTTACCCATATTTCAAAGACAATAATTATGAAACTGCATATAAATATTTACTTAAATCCACTTAAGTGGGTTGGAAAAACACACGTGAGTTCAATTAATGGCATTTAAAGGGATAGTTCACCCAAAAATCATTAATTGTAAGTCATTAATTGTAGGTAATCAGTGGTCATTAATTACTCACCCTCATGTCGTCTTCGGAACACAAATTAAGATATTTTTGATGGAATCTGAGAGCTGTCTGACCCTGCATAGACAGCAACGCAACTGAAATGTTCCCAAGTCCAGAAACGTAGCAAGGAGATCTGTAAAATAATCCATGTGACATCAGGGGTTCAACCGTAATTTTACGAAGCTACAAGAATGTGTTTTGTGCGCGAAAGAAAAAAAAATTACGACTTTATTCAATAATTCGTCTCCTCCGCACGTCACGCCGGATCTGTTTCCTACGTTGTTGTGATTTGATCTGAACGGTAACAGCGCATCCGTGTGACGCAGCTGACACAGAACAGCATACGCTGTTTACATCCCGCGGATATTCTCCAAAATGGCGCTACAGGGTGATGCGGAGGAGACGAATGATTGAATAAAGTCGTTTTTTTTGTGTGAGTAAATAATGACAGAATTTTCATTTTTGGGTGAACTATCCCTTTAATATAAAAGTAAACTATAATACATTTTCATTTAATTGCAAATAACACGTAGTTAAGTGAAACCATTAAATTCATTTCCTACTCAAGTAAATTTTTAAGTGTACTATCTCCGTAATAAGTATGTTAAAGTGTACTTCTTTTTCTCAAGGGTATTGGAGACGTTTCCATCACGTTCGAGAGATCTGATCACAAACACTCTCAAACAACAGACTGAATCTCTTTGTTGTTCGTTCACAAATGTGTTCATCACATTCAGCCTGTTCTTCTTCTGAATTGTTAAAGCTGACTGATTCTGTGTTTCTGCTCACGGTCAAATCGAGTCAGACGATCACAGAGGGAAATTAATGTTTGTTATAATGATCCACATGAGTTTTTACCAAAGAGGGAAATTGACAGAGAAATTACTATTCAGACTAACAGTGTGCATGTGTGTGTGTGTGTGTGTGTGTGTGTGTGTTTGAGGTGTCGGCGTGGGGCGGTTACGTCTTCATCATTAATCTGATTCCTCTTCACGTGTTCGTTCTGCTGTTGATGCGCCGCTTCAGTAAGAGAGTTTACATCGGTGAGTCTCAGTCAAGATTCATAGCAGAAACCGCACTTTGATTCATTCCAGCGTTGATTCTGATTGGTCGTCTCTCTCTCTCTCTCTCTCCGTACAGCACGTTCTACATCATTGGTCTGATTCTGTCTATGCAGATTCCTTTTGTTGGGTTTCAGCCAATCAGAACCAGCGAACACATGGCAGCGGCTGGTGAGTCTCTCCTCATTGGCTACTGAGTCACAAACACACAAACGTTGATTCAGTGTGTGTGTGTGTGTGTGTGCAGGTGTGTTCATGCTGCGCACTTTGATTCATTCCAGCGTTGATTCTGATTGGTCGTCTCTCTCTCTCTCTCTCAGCGTACAGCACGTTCTACATCATTGGTCTGATTCTGTCTATGCAGATTCCTTTTGTTGGGTTTCAGCCAATCAGAACCAGCGAACACATGGCAGCGGCTGGTGAGTCTCTCCTCATTGGCTACTGAGTCACAAACACACAAACGTTGATTCAGTGTGTGTGTGTGTGTGTGTGCAGGTGTGTTCATGCTCGTGCAGCTCTACTCTTTCCTGCAGTTCCTGCAAGACAGACTGACGCGGCAGGACAAACAGACTCTGTTTTCTGTCTGCGTTTGTGTCGCTGCGCTGCTGCTGTTTGTGTGTGTCGTGTACCTCAGCTGCATCGGTCAGTTTACCGTGGTACATGATCATGTGACATATATGATAACATGAGCGTCTGCTGATGATCGTGTGTGTTTGTGTGTTCAGGTTGGATCGCTCCGTGGAGCGGACGCTTTTATTCACTCTGGGACACGGGGTGAAAATACACTGACAATTACATCATTTACAATCAAACACTCGCGTTTAGCAACATGCTAAACTCCACTCAGAACACCCTAGCAACTGCATAGCAACATGATAAAAACACTCTGAAACCTGTGTGCTGCACAGCAACTCTTTTTGGCCATTTTTTACAGGCAAACAACACAAAAATGTCACTTTTACTCAGAGTTTGTGTTCATTTCAGGAAATATTTTCATGCCGTATGTTTAATGTCTGATATTTTTTGTGCAGCTATGCTAAGATTCATATTCCGATCATCGCGTCCGTATCAGAGCATCAGCCGACCACCTGGGTTTCCTTCTTCTTTGATCTTCACATCCTGGTCTGCACCTTCCCAGCAGGCCTGTGGTTCTGCATCAGAAACATCAACGCCGAGCGCGTGTTCGGTACGTGCCGTGCTGTGAGTGCTTTCCTTCAGGTCCAGTGCTGCGTGTCTCAGGTGTGTGTGTCTCTGTTTGTCCTGCAGTGGTTCTGTATGGCATCAGCGCGGTGTATTTCGCCGGTGTGATGGTGCGGCTGATGCTGACTCTGACGCCTGTGGTGTGCGTTCTGTCGGCCGTGTGTTTCTCCAGTGTGTTTGAACGCTATCTGAGCGACGAGCTCAAGCAGGACGATCCTCCGGCTGAAGACGCCGTTGACGAGGATGACAGGAGGAACTCTGGGAGTCTCTATGATAAGGTGCGACAAGAGCAACATATGAACACACACACAGTGGCTCATCCGTCCTCCTGTGTGTTTCAGCTCGCGCCGCATCCTGGATGATTTCAGAGAGGCGTACTATTGGTTGCGGCTCAACACCGACCAACACGCGCGCGTTATGAGCTGGTGGGATTATGGGTATCAGATTGCAGGCATGGCCAACAGAACCACGCTAGTGGACAACAACACCTGGAACAACAGCCACATCGCACTGGTGAGACGCGCGCCAACCACTGGAAGAGATGCTCGACTGCAGGAAGTCTGACTGCCTCTCTCTGATTGGCTCTCTCAGGTGGGCAAAGCCATGGCGTCCAATGAGAGTGTGGCGTATGACATCATGAGGCTGCTGGACGTGGACTATGTGCTGATCATCTTCGGAGGGGTGATCGGATACTCGGGCGACGACATCAACAAGTTCCTGTGGATGGTGAGGATCGCCGAGGGAGAACATCCCAGAGACGTGCGGGTGAGTCATCATACCATATTAATTAACTAACAGTAAACTATAACTAACTAAAACTACAGCTATTGCAAATCGTATTCATGAACTGAAATTAAAGCTTTAAAAAAATATACATATTAGATGAAAAACCTAAATGAAAATCAGGAATGTTGCCTTTGCAACTAACTGAAATAAGTTTAACATACCATATTAATTAACTAACAGTAAACTATAACTAACTAAAACTACAGCTATTGCAAATCGTATTCATTAACTGAAATTAAAAAAGCTTAAAAAAAATATACATATTAGATGAAAAACCTAAATGAAAATCAGGAATGTTGCCTTTGCAACTAACTGAAATAAGTTTAAGATGAAGTACTAAAATCACTAAAACTTAAACTGAAATAAATTAAAACTATATAGAAATATTTAAAAAGTTGAAAAGCAAATAAAATACTAAAACTGTTACAAATCTTGTTCATTAATTGAAATAAAGCTAAAATAAGATATTAATAATAGATAAAAAAAAATCTTCGCAAGCTAAATAGAAATATTAAAAACAAACAACGTAGATCTGCTACGCTGCTGCTGCGGCAGAGCAAGTACCGAGACTTGCTACTGCCAATACATCCACAACATGCTGCTGTGAGCATGTAAGAAATACTGCTGCTGCACATATAACACGTATGAATAACCCCCATATAGCATACATGAATCACCTCGTAGCAGATCTATACAGGGGGAGCTGGGGAAGGTGGAGGGTTTCTGAAGCAAGCTGCAACTGCTACGGCAAGCACTAATCATATATTTGAATGTTGAGCAGCGAGCTCATTGGCTACCGATACAGGAGAGAACCAATCAGCTGTGCCATGTGATAATGATGTCATTAGGTCAGATTGAGTTAGACCTATCGGACTGCGCCATCTAGAGTTTCATGCCAGAACTCTGTATTTAAACAAAATTACTAATACTAAAACTGAAATAAAAATAAATTAAATAGAAATATTAAAAAAAACGAATAAAATGACAAAAGCACATAATACATTTACTAAAACTAAGATAAAAAAACAATAAAATTAAAATAAAAACCTAAAATATAATTCAAAATATGAAATAAATACTATAATAGTATATAAATAGTAACAAAATATCACTGCCACCCCATACAGGCTGAAAATGAAGAACACTTTCTTGAACAGTTGTTGTTGAGGTGTGTTTGTGTTGTGTGGTCAGGAGAGCGATTTCTTCACGCCGCTGGGAGAGTTCAGGGTGGATAAAGCCGCGTCTCCAGCGCTGCTCAACTCGCTGATGTATAAGATGTCCTACCATCGCTTTGGAGAAATGCAGGTGATTCTGGTCACATGATCTCATCCTGAACCGTGTTTGGCACTCATGTGACCGTTTCGTGTGTCAAATGTGTTCGTCTCTGTTCAGCTGGACTTCAGAACTCCTCCAGGATTCGACCGAACGCGAAACGCCGAGATCGGAAACAAGGACGTGAGGCTGAGGCACCTGGAGGAAGCGTTTACCTCCGAGCACTGGCTCGTCCGGATCTATAAAGTCAAAGATCTGGACAACCGGCAGCCGCTGGAGCGCAAACCTCGAGTCACCAGCGGCGATCACAATCACACACACAAACACACACACTATCACTCCTCCAGGAAGGTACATATTTATGTCTCATCACGATGGTTTTCTTGACTTGATATTGTTTTAACGTTGTTGATCTGTGCAGGGCACCAGGAGGAAACGAGGATTCATTAAAAACAAACTTGTTCTGAAGAAAGGCAGAAGATTGAACCGGAAACTGAAGCGAACTGGACTAGACTGAACAGAACCGGATCAGTGAAGATGAAGACTGACTGTTTGATTTCAGCTGGTGCCCTGATGCTCTAACGCTGGTTATTATCTTTATATCACTGCTTCATCCTTGAATATGTGTTATGTGATATGACTGAGAATGACAGAGTGAAGTCTAACAACAACTTTTTAGACATTTAAGATTAAATCTGAAGGAGGATGAAGATATTAAACCAAAGAGCTCATGTTCTCCTCATATGAAACAGTTACACAAAAATATTGGGGCCTAAAATTTAAGACTTAAGATTTATGTATTTGCTATTATGTAATTGCATATAAAATAGAGTACACAGTTTAAACAAAAACAAATCAAATTAATGTGATTCATATTTGTCAGTCATACATAAATGAAACAGGTCAGATTTCTGCACTCAAAAATCATGGCTTACTGTATTATTGCCTATTTGCATCTATTGATTTTATGTAAATAATCATATTTTCAAAGTGCGTGGTGAAAACAATTCCATTTATTTAAAAAAAGTATGAACATAAAATATGACTAGCTGTGGGACAAGCAATATTCAGTTAGTTGAAATGACAAACAAATCAGATTGATTGATGATAATCATATAAACCTGGCATTGTGTACTGTATATAAAAGACATTCGGTTTATTAGTACAATTACAGAAATCTTGACCCGTTTCATTTATTATTATGACTGACGAATATAAGTTTATTTGGTTTTGTTAAAACGGTGTAATCCAAATAAATGGAAATTTTATATGCAACCAAATACTGATATTTTATAGTTCGTTTTTTCAATGTTTCTTTGTTTTGTTTTAGTATGCAATGAATCGATGCAGTAATTATCAGGACTTTTGGACTTTTCCCTGTAACTGTGAATGGATTTTCTTTTTGTGAATGTTTTACGTGTCATGTATAGCTCAGATTTTATAGTACAGTTTTGTATGCAAACATACAGTGGGTACGGAAAGTATTCAGACCCCCTTAAATTTTTCACTCTTCGCTGAACAGGATTTTTTTCATGTGCATATCCTCTTGTAAAACGTCATTTTCCTGTTCTGATATGTTTTTTTTTTTGCACAATAAATAAAGACCTTTACAAAAACAGTCCATTATGCTGCTTGATATTGCAAACGTTTAGTTCTTATGTCATTTTAATTCGTTATCATAATCATAAACACTGGTTTGTTTTAGCATTTAACGCACTTTCTTATGTTTGTAATTCCCAAATGAATCGGAAGTCTCGCACATTCAACAGCGGAGCCTTTATTGACGCATTGATCGAGACCTCACTGTAAATCACTGTTTACTCTGAGAAAAACAAGGCCTGTGCGTGGCCTTTTTATTTCAGCACCTTTATGAAGAGTTTACAGTAGGCCTATTTTGATTTTGCAGTGTGTGACATGTTGCACTCTGCAGAAAACATGCGTCCCTTACAGTATGTTCGCTGTAAGGCTTTAAAGGGGTCATCGGATGCCCACTTTCTACAAGTTGTTATGATTCTTTAGGGTCTTAATGAAAAGTCTGTAACATACTGTAGTTTGGTTAAAATTTCTCAATGGTAGTGTAAAAAACACCTTTTTTACCCTGTCAAAAACAGCTCTTTTCAGATCAAGCCGTTTTGTAGCATTTTCCTTTAAATGTTAATGAGCTCTGCTGACCCCGCCCCTCTCTTCCGAGCCGCTCTCTGAGGGACTGTTTACTTTAGCCGCATTCATCGTGAAACTTGCTAATCAGCACATTATTAGGAAAGGCGATTTGCAAAGATTCATTACAAAACATTACACTCACTTCTTCTGTAGGTGAAGCTGAATCAAGAATGATTCGCGCGAACATAAACGCATTTATGTAGATCGGGGGCACATTCTCTTCAGAAACAAAGGTAATCCACTGCGTCTTCAGCAGCTCAGATGTCGGGAGTAAATGACGACTGCTATGTTCATTATTACATCCAACAACAGAACACCTCAGTCGCTTAGGAGTCATTCTCGTCTACATCTGCTCCAGCGGGGAAACAATGGCGGACTGATGACAGTCACTCAGGGCGGAGCTAAGGTAAGACACCAGTCCAGTCTGTGCTCAAACGCTACTGTCAATCAAACTATCGTGGGAGGGGCCTGTTTTTGTGACGTCACACAGACAGGCATCTGAGATCGGCTCGATTTGAGAAAGGGGAAAAGATTCTAGATTAAAAAAAAACACTGCGTGGATTTTTATCATTATAGAGTGGTTGTGTACACACACTGCCAACACATTTCAGTTCAAACTACATTTAAAAGTGTATGTAGCATCCTATGACCCTTTAAAATACTTTTTAAAGCTTCCATAAATACTGTATTCTGGATATATGATTTCCGAAATTTAACACAAAAATATAGACTAAAATGTAGCCTAATTGCGAATTAATAATATATAATAATAAATGCAATTTTGCAAGATATAAACTCACAATTATGAGAAGAATAGTATGGAAGCCCTGAACCACAACCAAAAAAAAAAAAAGTTTTTGAAAACCGTTTCTGAAGTTTTTTGAAGAGAAAAGCTTTTGAAGAGAAAAAGTTTGAATGCGAGGACGTTTCTGGATGTGAGAAAAGTTTTTAGAGAGAAAAAGTTTTTGATGAGAGAAACATTTTTTTTAAATGGGAAAAATTAGGACTTTGAGGAAGGGTGTAAGACACAATTTTAGACCATTTTTTTCCACATTGATTTTTTAATTCACGTTGCGGTTCAGGGCTTCCAAATCGCAATTAGGCTATCTTTTATTTATTTATTTTAATCCATGGCGGATATAAGCTTCCTTGTGTATCATATCCACCTTATTTTGCAACAAGGCAATAAGCTATTTTTCACAGGTCTGAGCGAAGGCCTCGATTAAAAGTGCATCAGGGGAACAGAACGATTATTTATCCTAACTATAAAAATAAGAAACCGATTTTATTTTAGGATCAAGATTTATTTCAAATAGATAATTGTAAACTATTTCTACATTGTGATTGCATTTGATGTATGACATTTAAGTTAATATGATTTAAATAAAATATTATATTACATTTGGTTTTTGTACTGGAATAAAAATACTATATTACAGTAATAAGAATTTAAGTGGGAAATATGTCATTTAAATAATGTCACAATGCAAAAAACTTATATAATGTGTTATTATATGATATAATTAAAATATATAATTTAATTTAAAATGTATTGTCTTATATGTGTGTGTGTGTGTGGGGGGGATTTTTTATTTGGGGGGGGGGGGGGGGGCGTGAAATATGAGCTGAAATATTGACCGTTTAAAACTTGTATCTGAATGTCTTGTTCACATTATTAAATGCACGTTGGATGTAAATCCATGACTCTCTTACTCTGTTAACAAATCATCTAATGGCAGATGACTTAAACAGGCCTACTGTGTACATGTGCATATCCACAAAGGCTTGGTTAGATAATCGTGAAAAATAAAGTATAATTTATACAGTGTATAAAAGGTCTATTCTGTTTTCATATATATATATACACATTGTTTTCTGTACAGTCTATAGCAGTGTTTCCCAACCTTGTTTTAGTCGCGGCACCCTTTGGAAATTTTAACAAACTTGTGGCACCCTACAAAATTAATTTTGTCACAATATTTGAATTTCTAACTTCGATGAGATAATTTGAAAAGTATAGATATTCGGTACAACAGGGAAGAACGGCAGAATATAAAAATACAGATATTTTTAATATTATTAAAAATGTTTGTCCATCAATGGTGGCAATCAGTAGGCTAATTTCTAATGAAGAGACCAATTTATATGACAGATTTTAATGTAGGCTTTTATACACATGTAAACATGATTTGATTACCATTATAACTAGCTATCTCACAAATTTTTGCTCACTCAAGTGTTTTTTTTTATTTTACAGCGGGGTAATTTTGGTGCAGTAGCACGAGATAGCTTGATTTCAAACTTTGAATGGAATAAAAAATGACAAGTAAGCAGTCAGTAATAAAATAAGCACAAATAAAGAAATTAATAATGATAGCACAAATAAAAAATAACGACAGGCCTTCGAATTAAATAAATTGCTTTTTAGATTTTCAGGTAGGTCTAACGGTAGGGTTAAGATATTTCACTTTTAAAAAAAATGTTTTTACCAATTATCCAAATAATGTTTAGTCCTAGAAAGCTATTATTATCAGAACACGTGAGCATAACATGCAGTTAGCAGATCAATGAATGAGAGGGCAGCGTTACCAGAGTTGCCCATTAACCACACCTTGTTACAGCACAGTAGGGCTATTGCAGACAGAAACCATACTGTACTACATCGATGTTTCCTGTCGGCTCAATTTTTGAGTAGACTTTGCTGTTCCGATGAGCATGAACGGTATACGAGTGGAGCGACTGAGCGGCGCGCACACGCACAGAGCGGGATAATACGCAGAGCGTCACACCACGTGAAAGTGAAACCTGAGAGGAGAACTAATTTTCGGCAGCCGAAATTTCGGTGCATCTCTAATTATTGGCGACATCAGAAATGGATATTATATAATAGATGCTTTTTTGAACATTTAAGCAATTTAAAAATATTAAAAAATTATTATTTTTTTACACGGCACCCCTGCTCTCGACAGACGGCACCCCGGTTGGGAAACACTGGTCTATAGTGTGATGCATAATAATGCAACATTATTCTCCTGGCTTTGATTTTTGCTGTTTGTTTTCAGTCCCTGTGTTCATCTCATCGGAGTTGGTCTTCCTTTCTTCAGTGTGTTCTCCATAAGGGGTTTCTGTAGACCCATCCGTCACCCTGCACACAGACAAAACAGCTTTATCAGCTTCACACCACGGAAACTGTTCAAATGGTTTCATCTTAGCTGCAGAAGAGAGACTGATTTCAAGCATGGTTCATTTCCCCCCCAAAGTTCTCTAATGTATTTACTTCAGATCTGTAGTTTGACCCGGTTGAGTCTGTACTGTAACTGCAGATGTTTCAGTCATGAACGCACCTCTTTGTTGAAGTATTTGGGTTTCCAGGGCATGTTGTTGGCGGCTCTCTGTCTCTCGTCTGATCGCTGGTCTTCCTCTAACACATGCTTGTGTTCAGTGGCCAGATCAACATTCCCTTCCTTCAGCGCCGCAGTCATATGCTGCCAGAGACGCCTGAGATCAACAGCACGGAATATCACAACTATATAAACGACCACATAAATAAAAAAAAATAAATAAATTAAAAAAAAAATAAATATATATATATATATATATACAGTGGGTACGGAAAGTATTCAGACCCCCTTAAATTTTTCACTCTTTGTTATATTGCAGCCATTTAATCATTTAATCAT